CGTCACTTGGAACCTTGTCAGCAATACAGATGCATCTATCTCCAGCAGACCTAAAGAACAAAGGCAAAAACTGCTTACTGGAGACTTGTGGTAGCTGGCAGTCTCTTGTTTACATACATAACCTGACATGAAATCAATTGGTATTTCATATTGAGGAATGAATATGGAAATTTCTTCGTGCACGAGGCATCAAATTGCTTTCAGGAGGAATGCATAGGAATAATTTTTACTTGAAATGTTCTGGTTTTTTATTATTACTTTAGAAACCTCAAGGCTTCTTGCTCAACATAAGTGTTACTTTGAGATTAATACATGCCATTTTTAACTATGCTTCTTTCACTAATCCCAAAGTGAGGCTGAGTAAGTTGTATTAATGAAACAAATGTTTTTGGAGAGACTAGCTTAAAAATGAGTAGTTCATATGTTGCGGACTGAGCACACAACTCATAGTTTTTCATTCTTATACTTAATGCCCTGAGCAATTTCTGAAGTGGGAATTTAGTATGAAATAATTGACTCTGGCATAATCAGTTAATTTGATCCAGTATTCCTAAATGCTGGATGTAAAGTTAGAGGCCTGCTTGGGTTTTTCCTCCATGAAGGAGGTAAATAACAAATGATGACTGGTCAACATCTGAGCAGAAAACCTGCATTTCCTTGCTTTGAAGAGGGCAAAATGTCTGCTTGAAGGTGATCTTTATTTTGTTTACTCCCTGTACTTTCTATCCTTCTGCAGCATAGCCCAAAACCGCATTTATTGAAGCTAGTTCAAAGCCTGTGGAAAATGTAAGACTTTTTGTAGTGCCATGAACTTGAGAATGAAAAACTATTCTTGTAGAACATACCCATCAACTTTGCTTTCTTATAAACCCTTAACTGATTTAGCTTGCATTGACATTCTGTGCCTTTTCTGTGTCTTGTCTACTTCTCTGCTCTTTCCATTAGATCCTCCTACTACTACCACTCGACTGCCCACGGTTCCCTGGCATCCTTCGACTGATGGCATCACAGGTTTAGCAACACAGCCTAGAATAATAGATTTCCCAACATCAACCTTGCCAACAATGCAGGACGACTCTTGGGGTACCATCATCGGTTCTGTGGTGGGTGGGCTTCTTTTGCTCTCACTTTTCAGTATTCTGGGTGGAGTTCTCTGCTATAGGAGAAGAAAGACGTTCCGTGGTGACTACTTTGCTAAGAGCTACATTCCACCGTCAGATATGCAGAAAGAGTCTCAAATAGATGTTCTTCAGTCAGATGATGTGGATTCTTACCCTGACAGTATAAAAAAAGAAATAAAGCATCCAATGAACGTAATATCTAAAGATTATTTAGGAGACCCTGAAAAACCTGAGTTGAACAATATAGACAATACTAACAGGTACCAGGAACGTTATGAAAGACGAATGGATTACTATGAAGGTGGAACATATGGATTGAATTTTATGGGTGGTGACTTATATGACGATGAGGACTTTGTTTCTCACTTAGATGGCGCGGTAATATCTCGGAGGGAGTGGTATGTGTAGTAACCACTGAAAACTAAACGTGTATCTACAGTTCATTTCATTGGCTGGTCACTTTCAGATTGTTTATACTTACACAAGAGAGGAGGAATAAACTTTTTGAAACTGATTTTTTTTTTTTGAAGGTTTTTATATTGTAACTTGACACAATGAAAATACTGAATCTGGGGGAAATGTATTTGAGCTGCTTTTTTTTTTTTCCCAATGCTGTACTACTGTTTAAAATTGGAGTTTTAATGCAGAGTGCTTATATTGGTCTATGTCAGAGGTAAAAAAAAAAAAAAAAAAAAAAAAAAAAAAAAAAAAAAAAAAAAAAAAAAAAAAAAGGCTAAATTAAAGTTCCCATACAATATTGTTTAAGAATAAAAAGTTGACTGTCTTGGTTCTCTGATTTAAAAAATAGGTTTACCTAAGTCAATCATCAAATATAATCTTTTGGGGCTTTGAATTATTCCAGTGTAGGTACCATCCATGGTAAACTTAATGCTTCTATATAGCAAATATTTTACCCACTAAAATGAGTTACAGCAGAATTTAAGCTTTATTTTTTAGGGTTTTTTTCTGAATAAAAATGAATACCTCTTAGCATTTCAATGAGCCTTCTTGTAACTATATACTTAAAAGTTAAGTCATTGCACTGAAACTAACTTATGAACAAAATTTTAAGGAGTAACTGTAAACAGGTCAAAGGCTTGTATTTGAATAAGATGAAAAGTTATTTTTTTATAGTCATTGATTTCTAAAGCTTATTCTAGTGTCTGTATATACATACAGTAAGGTATTTTGTTAGGCCTGTAATTGGCAGGATGTCAAAACTCATTAACGCATACGAGGTGCTCTTCGCAAGTACACGGGGTGCAATTTTTGAGACCTGTTTTGGAGGCTCTGTGGGAATCTTACCGTTGAATTTGAAAGAATTGGAGAATTGGACACAACTAAGGAGAATAATATAGATTCCGAAGCTGGAGGCTAATGTGAATTTGCTTGTTTTCCCAGGTGCCAAAAAAACGTTAAGAGTTTTTATGACCGGAAGTTAAAACAGCGGTTTTACGCTGCTTCCGAACAAGTTACAATGCCTGCTTTGAAGAGGGTAACTAGTTTCAGATTATTAGTAGGGAAGTGGACACTTGCACTGCTACTTCATTTATTGAAAACACACTCTCCAGTGATGCAACTACAGAATCTATGAAACGGGAGTTCTGATGACTTGTGCAGTCTCTGTACTGCAGTGGATTTGTTTTCCCTGCAAATAATCAATACTGATTTAACAACATGTTCTTGTTCTTTCAAATGACATTGTATCCATTATATGTAGAACATCTTGTTTGACATCTGAAGTAGTTCTACTTTGTCTTGAGCAGATTCACCAGCCCAAATCTGCTGATTATTTAGGGAAGAATGGAATAACTTTAGAGGAATTACAGAACAATGATAAATTCATACTTAGAATAATAGATCTTTTGAAGTGCCGTTTTTAAGTGTTTAGCTTGAGGAAATGGAAGCTGATAAGGCTATTAGTATTTGGAACCTGAAAAGGGAAGACTGCTACCTTTGAGATGAAATAGGCTGCATAATTACAGCTGCTTCATGAGCGTTCATGCTGGAAGTTCTTTTCTAGCCTCACGATGTTTGGTAGCTTTACAGCGTTTAGAGCTTCATGAACATAGTTGTATTGAGCGTTGTAGACAATACACTGTGATTGCATATGACTGCATGTCTTCAAAAAAGGTTAAGACAACAGCTTTATTTGAAATTCCAATGGAAAAGCATCCCTAAACAACTCAAGTTTGTGTTTGGATTAATGGAGTACTAATACACGATTGACCAAAGTCTCAAGAACAACAGCAAGTGGGTATCTGTAGATTGAGTGCAAACACAAGGAAAGGAATGAAATTTCTAGCAGAAGGTTCTGATCCAAATTATTTCTGGAATAAAGAGATTATACCTCTCTTCAAATAAAAATACTTGTTATATCATCTTTAAAAGATGGTGTTACTTTGAAATAAACATAACCATAAACCAGTTTTCCACATGGGATATCTTGCTTTTGTCTCTGTGGATTTTTTGCTTTGATTTTTAAAATATATATATATATGTTTCATTCCTATGGGTTAAGAAGTTGAAATGTTCTGGAATTGAAGTTGATAATACGGATAGGGCTTATGCGTGTTGCAATGTTTTGTACATTATGTCTGCTGTAAAAAGAATTGATTGTAAGTACAAATGGCTGTTGTGTGAATAAACTTTTTGTTACGTTCTGGAACATAGGTAGTGTTCAAAAATGTTTCAAAGGTATATTCTTAAAAATTGAAGACAGCACAGCACAGAAAAGCACAAACCCAGAGGCTGGATAGAATGAAGTGTTTAAGCTGTTTATTATGGTCACTTAAGCATTTCCCCTTGTAGACCCTAAGCTTATAAAACAAGTGTCTTCAGGAACTGTTTTAAGAAGATAAGAGAATAATAAATGGTGATAGTTACTGTCCAAACAATTTCACTTAAAGCACAGCTGATCCACTATCTAGGAATTGTGTGCTTTAAAAAAAAAGTTGCATTTTTTTTCAGTCTTTTATTTTTGGTTGCTGTTGCTCTGCTTTAACTGTATTTCTGGGAGTGAATCAATTCCCATCTATTTCTGACCAACTGGTGGTTAAAATGCTGCACAGCTGGCACCGTGGATCGTAGGTGCTCTCTGGCTTCTTCACCTTGGCATGGTGGTCTGGGTTTCTGGTCATTTTCCTGGTTGGACTGATGAAATTTTTGAGACTCCATTTTTGCCAAAGCAAAATAAGAAAGTAAATTCAGGGTACCCTGTGGTAATTGCACTTCAGTTCCTGTGTGTTGTTACTCTTGCTGTGGGATGTCACTATGTTTACTGGTGTTCAGAAGCAAGTGGGTGGTTATTGTCTCACACAAAATGGGATTCAGTGGCTGGACTTTGATTGAAAGTATAATGCTTTGTGCTGTGTCAACATTATAACAGAATTTATCAGAAAAAATGGCTCTGTGAAGTTAGGATGAAACAGTCAAGAAACTCTTCTGTTGTAACCACAAGACCAAAGCTTCTTTGTCAATTCTAGATTAGCTACTTGCAATTTTCTCGCTTAAAGGAGAGGGCACCCTGTATAAACTAAGCCTAAGCCAATTAAAATGTAGTGGTTGGAATCAGTGGCCTTCCACTGATTCATGTGCCCATTCTTCAGAAGAAACTAGGATTTATGTTTCTGTTGTGGTTTAAACCCAGCGGGCAGCTGAGCACCCCACGGCTGCTCCCTCACCTCCCCTCTCTCCCTTCCACCCTTGTCCAATGGCGAGAAGAATCAAAAGTAAAAGTTGTGTGTTGAGATAAGGACAACTTGCTCTTTGAAAACAAGGTAAAATATTATAACAATAATAATAAATAATAATGATAATCAAAAAGGGGAAAGAAACCCAAACAAACGGTGCACAGTACTGCTGACCAATTCCAGATCCTGTCCCTGAACCCAGAGTGGCCTCCCTTCTGGGTAACTTCACCTGTTTTCATACTGGGCATGATATTCTGTGGTTTATAGTATTCCTTTGACCAGTTTGGGTCACTTGTCCTAGCTATACTCCCAGGTTTTTTTGGTGTACCTCTGAGACACACATTTTAAAAAAACAGTCCAGCAAAAGCCAAAACATCAGTGTGTTATCAGTGTTATTCTCACGCTGAATGCGAGACACAGCAGTGTTCCAGCTACTGAGAAGAAATTGACTCTCTCCCAGCAAAACCAGGACATGTTCACGGTGTTCAGCCTGGTATCTGACACAAATGGAGCTTGTGCCAAGAAAGCCGTTATGTAAACTAGAACAATGATCGCTGAAGGTGGGACGTTAATTAATCCTGTGGAGTGAATTTACTTCTGCAGGTTGTTACTCCGTGACTTTATTCTGTAACTTTAAGGAAGTCACAAAAAAAAAAAATCTTAGTTTTATCCTAGCTTGATAAATACTCAAACGTACCTTTGTGAGTGTGATCCCAGGGTACTGTTCTTGTTATGTCTTTCATATGCAGTGAGAGGACAGGAATCTCTTTATTAAATTCCAAATTAAGTGTTTTGGATTTTGTTTTTTTTTAATAAGAGATTATTTTGTCCAGCTTTTCAGCGTACTGGCAGAACAACATTAGAATTTTGTCAATAATAAAACATATTGAATCTTTCAAGGGTTTTTTTTTATTTGTGAATAGAACATGTAGCTGAAGGGCTCTCAAAATTTCCTCTGGTAGGAGATTAAATAGAGGATGGTCATGTCTCAGTTGGAAAATAGCTGAAATAGATGATATGTTGCAGGTATAGAACTGTGTTAATTTTCAGATTCTTTGCTGTTAACCTTTCTGATTCAGTATTCAGTGTAGATCAGAGCATTATTTAATGTATACTACATATATTTTACAGGTAAGAGTTTTAGTGCAACTAGTATGAACTATTCCAACTGTGCAACTTTTTGATGAGCCTGTTGATGCAAGTTTGAAATAACTGGGATTGATGATTTTTAAATCAAAGTGCTAGCAGGTTTTTTGGTTTTGAGACTTAAACATTGAATTCCAAGCAGAGTGAAAGGAGTGACCTTTAAAGACTGACAAGTGTGTTAATTCAGTATGAGAGTTGTTAAACGTCGAATTTGACAATGCTAAGGTCAAAAAAAAAAATGCTTTAGAAGGAAAAAGACACATTTTTTCCCCTCCCCCCCTTATTAAAATTTATTTATGAAAATTACTTTCTTGTAGCTTGAAGTGTGAAGTCCTAGAGATGATAGGTGGCCTAAGTGGTTGGTTTTATAAGTGCAAGCCAAGTAATTAGTAAGTTTGCATGTTCATTGCTCCTAGTAGTATATTTTTTTTTCCTGATTTTACATTTCCCTTTTTACTTTCTGCAGACTTCAACGTCTTTAAAGAAAGATTACCAATAAAGCCATAGTTGTCTAGGTTTTTGAATTAACATCATCTTAGCTCATGCAAGTCCAAAGCATGTGTTCTATAATGTCATCTTGCCTTGAAATGGAAAATAAAAGCATGCAGCTTTATTTATTAAAGCATGCAGCTTAACTTATTAAAAGTAGTCAATGACACTTTTGAAATCAGATTAT